CGGCCCGGACTTAATAATATGACAATTCTAACTTGACTCATAATAATTTTATGCTATTAGGCGATGCGAAATTTAATATACAATAATCTTTCTTTTATTTTACAAATACCAAAAATGTAAAATATATATTTATTTATCAAATTTATATTGAAAATAAAAACTAAAAAAAAAATTACTGAAGTGCATTATGTAAATCTAAAATACTATCCATTGTTGAATAATTTCATAAAAATACACCTTCACATTTTCTGCTTTTTTGTTCTTGACGTTTAAAAATTCATTTTTTTAATTAAATTTGACATTTAGCTTTAAAAAAGAAATTTCAATAATGTAACGCGACAAAATTAAAAATTAGGCATATCCATCTAACCTAGCTGTCCAAGCGAATCAACTCGAAAGAACCACCTAAATAGTGCAAAAGTTGAAAAAAAGCATCATCAGTCTATGTGCTCCGAAGCAATCCAATAATAATAATAATAATAATAATAATAATTTAATAAAAAAAAAAACTTTACCTTGCGATCCAACAAAAAAAAAAAAATTTCTCAAATCTAATAAATTCAGTGTTCAATAAATATAAAATGGACACATTTCCATTTGTGTCTATTACAGTTTTTATTACCAATCGTTATCTCATCGCGCATAAGTTTTTTCCAAATGGCAACGCCTTCTACCAGTTTCGTAATTGTCAAATTATTACTTGCCTCAATGATTATGTTAACATGGTTGGCGCAGTTTCTATTTAAGGAATGGGAAAATTTTAATTATTACCTAAAATTAAAGATTAAAATTTTAATTTCCAATTTGACTGAAATTGATCTACAAAGGCTAACCAGATTTAGCAAAAATCATAGAGAAATTATATTAAACAAAATGTACAGTAATAACGATTTCACACGAATTTTTTTATTATGTATAGATTCAGATATAGATATAGTTGAACAGTAACTGATGAAGCCCAGGATATAATTTAAATAAATCCGGATATAATAAATCCGGGCAAATATTGTACGTATATAAGGTTTTAAATCCGAAGGTAAATCCGGTTTTGATGTTTGTTGATTTTTTTTAATCTTTTTAGCCCCCTCAAGTTTTTTTTTTTTATTCATATTCATTTTGGAAAATCGATCCTTTTTGCTCACTTTTTCTTGAGATAAGTTTCTTTTTTTTTTAATTTACATTTGCTTTTGAGTGATTGTGATTTTTACGCAGTTGTTATTTATATTATTTTGCCAATTTAAGACTTTTAGATTTTCTTGTCGATGTCTTCATTTTACGCGTGCGTGAAAATATATCTGAACAGATATCAAATATTGGAATTGAATAATATATTATTAATCAGATTAAAAAGTTGTAATTGAGATTTCATTACATTGCTATTTTGCTGAAAAATTAATTTAATTCTTTATTCGATTTTATATTATTCATACGTGGCGTTCATTGTAATTAAATTACATTATTAATAAGAATTGTTGTGCCACTGCATTAATTTTGTGATTAACTGTGGTAATCGTGAATTTAATCCGTACTTTGTAGAAAATAACGACTTCATAATTTAATTTATTAAGCATTGCAAAAAGTGGATCGAATCTAAAAAAATACGAAATTCAAAATCCACTTAATGTTGTTTTACTAATCGTCTTTTTGGTAATCGTATGTAATTGATATTCTATGGTAGAATCTGAAATTATGCTCTTTTACTTTATTTGTTTTATTATAATTTATAGAAAGAAAAGATCAAACGTTATAAAAATTGTTATAAATAATCCCTTGTTTCTTACAAATTATCTAAAAAAATTTTATTACAAAAAATAGTTTTTTTTTATAAGGATTTTTTTATTTCACACGTAATCATAATAACTTTATAATTAAAATAATTTAAACACTTTGCTTTTTAAGATTATAGAAGAAGCAAGCCTTTTAGATGGTGATACCTTCATAAATAAATAGAAACGGCTTTACCACTTTTAAAAAGTTAAATTGCAACCTTACTGAAAAAGTTTATAAATTCCTCTCGTTCGATTCGCTATCATGCAGTTAATCAAAGAAAATGCGCTTAATTTCTTAACTTTGCTCTTCCTCTTTATTTTGCAAGTCTGCGAGGTCAAGGGTGGCACCTGTGAGGGTACCGTACACAAATTATTTTATTCTAACAAATCTGATGACAGTTTCTGTCTTTGCTAATTAGACTAACCGTCAACCCAACCCATCGACTATAAAAATAACAGGCATGTATCTTTCTGTAACCAATGAACATAATGAATGGAAAAAATTGAAAGATGGAACGCCGGTAATTAAAAATAATGTAGATCGACGAATAGTTTTAGACAATGGTGATCCAAATGACTATTATACATTCGTGAAAGCCATCACACTAGCCAAACATAACACGAATGAAATCGTTCAGAATATTTATTACAGGGAAGACGAACCTGCACGAAAAAACTTTGATCAAGCTCAGCAATGTAAAGATCAAAATCTTCCAAACTCATATTTTGCTGCCTGTTGGGTATATAATAATTGGACGAGCAATCTTACTAAAAGCTTGGTTCCCGGCGATTATGATGTGTGGGTGCATGTGTACTATTGTCCGGGATACTGTGAAGGTGATACATGCAGTATGAATTTGGGTGAATTGTATGATTGCGAGAAGAGATACCACGTGAATATTGTTGATAATTATTGATAATTAAGTAATGATTGTATAAGATAGAATTTTTAATCAATAAATTTTTGATTATTAATAATTAATTTTATGTTTAAATTTTAAGTTTAAATAAAGTTTTTTGCAATTTGAATTAAAATTAAATAGTTAGAAATGCAAAATTTTTTAAATACTATATATACAGTATTTACGATTGTAGCACAAAACTATTGTGCGATGCATTTTTAATGAATTTTCGATGACATATAAATTATACAATATACAAACACAAACTACATAAATTTAAATTATTCAAAATGAAAGTCTTTATTATTTTTCTATAAAAAATAAAAGAAAAGAGGCCATACGTTAGGTAATTTTATGGTTAAATTTTGCGGTTGTATTTAATAATAACCTCAACAATGATTTGATAATTTTTTGTGGACCGGTGTCACAAATTTCTATGAATACTATCTAAAAATATTTTATCATTTATGAATCTCTAATTTCTTTCCAATATCTATCAATACATTAAAAAATTATTGTAGTACGATTTAGAGAAATTTTGTGTATTACTTTCCTGAAACTTATCTAATACGTACAGTAATTACCTTTTTTAGCATTAAATATTGGCTTTAAAGAGAAACAATTTTTCATAACGTTCAATATTTTGGTTACAAATTCCCTTTTGACATAAAATTTATTGTTAATTAATCCCATCAAAAGGAAGCAGAATACTTTTAAAGAAAATCTTTTGAATAATCGATACAATTATTCCCAGCTATTAAAATCGTGTTCCGAGATTAATGATCAAAAAAATGAAAAAAAAATGTTACACCGTAGTAAACCGATATTAAAGTGTATAAATTTACTGTACTAATTTTAAATATTCAATTATTTTAAAATTTTATTATTAAATGATCTTTATTAAAATATTAAAAAACATATATTATAAAATATCCTTATTCACATGTCTATTTGTGAAATTAGAAGTTCTATCATTATACCGTGTTTAATGTTCAATTCAACTAATGTAAAAAAAGATGAACGCAAGAGATTCCAATATCCACAATAAATAAATCCATTTCATTTGAAGATAATGGGAATTTTTTGATTCTGATTATAGAGTTATTGTATATTATAACTATTCATATTAATTGTATAAAATGGGAGGTTTGCTATTAAAATCGCGTTAAGATCATAGCAAATTATATGATCCGTAACGTGATATTGTTAAATTAAATGAAAAAATTAATTTTAAGGGATTTGTAAATTTAATTATAGATATACCTCTCTAGATGCACATTCTATAAATGCTCGCTCTTTCTAAATTCACGCTCGTCTTTTTATAGCACCAATTAGGTGCACTTAGGAGGTTTGTCTGTATAGATAAAGTTATATTAAACAATTCGGTCAATATTGACCATTCAAAAACCAATGATTCATTCGAATTATTTCGTAATTATGGCAAATACTTAAAAAAAAAAAATTTATTGGTCTTATTATTATATTTTAATACAGAAGGCTAGTTCACGAATTGCAATTAAATCAAGGATTTAATAATATGTATTTAATTAAAATAAAATTATTTCAACATATAAAATTGATCAATTCCTGCGCCACAAATCATCTTATTCGAAAGAAATAATTAAATTTCTCGAAGATAAAATCAAGCTCTTACATTGATAAATGCGTTTTTACTTCCCGTAATAACGAAAGTGCAAATATTTTTTTGTTTATTTTTTGTAATGATATAATGAAAGATGTAAAATTCTATTCTTTAATAGTACTTATTCAATAAAATCTAAATTTTGTATATAATTTATTATATAGAAGATCGAAAATTCTTCTATTGCTATTAAATTCAAAAAAAAAAAAAAAAAAAAAAATGGTAATTGTCAATCCCTGAATGTAAATTCAAAAATCACTTGTTTATAATATTCCTCCAGGTAATAAATTATCTTTATCACTATCTTTTGAACCGTTGCTTGGTCCACAGCGTCTATTTACTCCGGTACATCGACGTTTGGTTAACCTTGATAATTACAAAAAAATTTATTAATCATTAATATTTCTATCGATGTAACAAATTAACAGAAATTTCTTTTAAATAGATAAGCGATCACTTACATTTCAGAATTAACGCCTCGTTTGATAGATTTATCAGATGTATGTGGTAAACTTAACGTCGTAGAAATTAAAAACAATAAAACGATGAAAGTGAAAGTGAAAATTTTCATTTTTAATAAAATTTATTTTTTTTTTCGATTTATTTGTGTTGATGATTATAAAGACTTTTTTTCTTTCTAAAGAAAAAAAAAAATGATTTTTTAGCGTCATACTTCATATTATAACTTATTTATAATGAATTTAATTTAGCATCCATTGGAGCACATGTAAATTAAAATTAAATTTCACAACATCCTTATTTACCAAATGAAAATAAATTTATATCAAAATCTAAGCTTGAATCGTAGCTTAAAAAACATCAGTATACAGTGCGGTATATGCTTTAAGGTTTCAAATATAGTTTATCAAAATATTTGCAAGAAGGCTAAGTTCGCATGCAATGATATTTAAAAAAACTAAAATGGATTTACGAACTTTTTTTTTAACAAAAAAAAAAAAAAAAAAGAAAGAAATTTATTTTTAATTGATTAAGGTTTTTGAAAATACGGAAAGAAATGTAAGTTATTCAAATTTTTAAATAATTAGATCACAACTGAAATGTTTCCGTTCGTTGTTGTCCAAAATGCGTAATATTTATAATTGGTCACGTACTTGAGTTACCGCTTTAATCAAGCAAATTACAAATAATTCGAAAAAGGAAAGAATTAATAGGAATGCGCTTTATAAAGAAATCATGTGCTACACATTTACCCCATATTTTCTTTCCAAAATAGGTTTAGTATTAATTTTTTTTAAAAAAAAAAGGTAAAATTTTATTTGTAATTCTTTTAAATATTATAACTGCTTTAATCAAATTTTTTATCATACACTGAGAAGATATTTGTTTAACTTGGATAAAGCATATATCAGTACAGATTGGTTGTTCATTTTGTATCCGAATCACCCATAAAACGGTGTAATCTATTATGTAATCGTTGCAGTGGTCTGATGTGATCAAAGTCTTTAAAAAAATTAATTAAAAAGAAAATGAAAGTTGAAGGTTTTTATTATTTAATGAATACAGGGATTCAAAGAAAAGTATTAAAAAATACTATATATCTTAATAAAGTAGCAGTTGACAGCAGTTCGTTATTGGAACAAATAACTAAGCATCCTAACACTTTATTAATTGCTATCGTTATAGGAATTTAAAATTTAAAATTTAATGTTTTATTATTAAGAAGAATCTTATATTTCAATAAATTAAAGGATTTTAACTAATAATTATTTTGATTAAAGAAATAATATTTAATAACTTTTATAAATTCATTGGTATAAAATATAAATTCTAATTAAGAATAATGCTTATACTTTTAGCTTATACGTCAAATCGCTATAATTATTATCACAAATAAAGTAAATAAAGTTCTCGAATAAATGTACAATCTAAGTTATTACATAAATTAGTATATTTTACTATGCTATAAGTTTATAAAATAGTTTCTTTACGAAACAATTTGATTTGTAAAAACATTAAATACAAATGGTAGTCTTAAAGATGATAAAATTTGCTATTCCATAAATGCAGATATGGTGATTTTGAGCTTTTTCATCGCTCGGAATTTTGAAGGTGGACATCAAGAATTACTTTGATAATTTTTGCGCAAATTACTTTTAAAAAATGAATATAAATATATATACTATGAATCCTTATATTTTTTTCAAAAAAAGAAGATGCGCATAATTTCTTTAAAGGGTTATTAAAATTCTTTAACGGCAAGATAAGTTTGTGTAACATAATGCAAGCTCTTACATTGTAAAAAGATACACCATTTTAATTTGTAGCAAGTTGAGGAATTGACTCTTAAACTATTTGGTAATTTTGCTTAAACTGTTACTTAAAAGTAGTAAAACAATATTATTAACCTTTGTACTAACTTTTCCAATTTATTTGCGTATGGAAACATTATTATTCCGTGATTGAAGACGGTGCTCGCATACCAAACTAATAAAGTAAATAAAGAACCAGTTACTGTCTAAATATCCCAAATATTCCACGCAACACATAATAATCAAGGATGATTTCTTTAGTTATTTCTACAAATCGATCATATCAAATATTGATACAATGCCAGCAAATAAGAGTACTTAAAAAGAAAACATCACCACATAGGGTCAAAAAAATGCACAGATTATTTTATTTTATTTTTTTATTTTTTTAAAAAAAAAACCTTTATATCTTAAACGTTATATTTTACTTTTAGAAAATTTTGATTTAAGGTTAATTTAGACTTCACTCTACATCAATTCCATTTTAAGGAAAATTTTTACATAAAGATCAGCCTCGACGATGATGTGAAATTCGTAAAAAGAAAAAAAATGTGTCAGGCTACTTACGAAATGAAATTTATTCGTTTACACTTGCCATACTTCCTAAATTTCCAAATAAAGGAAAGGCGATCGTACGCCAAATGCGAACCTCCTAAAATAAAAAAAAGGATACGATGTTCACTATAGTGCAAACCCGAATAATATAAGAGGTTGTCCTATCGTCTCAAAAGCATGGCCACTAACACTTCCATGGAAAGTCAAATATCGAAAGGCGAATGGAGAAAGACTGAATCCGAAGAACCGAATCCACCTGATGCGAGAAGTATATACTATAATGGAAAGGCTCCGCGTCCAACCATTTATGCAATTAAAATAGATTGGGTTTTGACTCCTGTTACAAACAATATTAAGAAACTCATGATGGATGAGAACAGTACTTTTTGATTATGTCGCAGATCGGGCCAATGGCGTAGCTCCATGCTGAACATCGTCATTTTAGTAATGTCTTGGTTAATACCCTCTTGAATGTATTAAAGATTAAAAATGATGGATATAAACCGTGGGATGCACAAAGAATACTTTACAATCTAATCGAAAGAGATGCCACCGTCGACATCTTTTACTAAAGTAAGTCATTGTTTATTAAGCAATTGATTTATGTATGCGAAGAGTGTTTTAATTCTTGCTTTATGTTAGATTCCGATAAAATGGAACATCTAACTCTTCTACGTTCTTGGGTGGGGGAACAAAACAACCAATTACACGGTCTCCGAGAATGCATTGAATCTAGTTAATACAATTCAAAGAGATATTTCTACATTTCCCAGACTCGGGTAGGTTGACAAAATATCATAATCTGTTTTTACCTTAGTTTTTAATTATTGTATAACAAATTAATATAATGATTTATCTTTAGATGATGAAAATTCGATAATCTTGGCGTATGGTCATATTGACGTACATAGAATAATTATTTTATGATAATTGTTTTTTTTAATTCTTAGTGGCATCAATCAGTTGGTATGCTTGCGCAATTTTAAGGAACTTCCCAAATCTGCGAGAGAAGCACTAGATAAAAATGCCCCATATGAATGAATGCTGTGCAAAAAGGATAAAATCAATATAAAAACAATGCTTCATTTAGCATTTTAAAACATAAAATTTGAAATTTTATTATATGAAAAAACGTCATTTATTTAAATTAATAATACAATTAAAAATACAAATAAGAAAAATAAAAATAAATAAATACAAGATAAAATACAGAACAATAAATAAAAAATAAATCATAAAATCATGAAATTCGAAGAAAAATGAAAATGAAAAATTCATCTATTAAAGACTTTCTGTACCTTCCCTATTTATACGGAGCATCCCTGATTTTTTTACCGTAATCAGTTGCTGAAGGAGTAGGTCCCAATCGAAATTGTTCAAAATTTCCATCCTTATCCTTTTCTCCTTCCATCCACCTTTTAAACAGTCCAATCTGATATTCAGACCAAGGATCTCCCGGAGGCATTTCCTTACGAGACAATTTTTGATAAATCAATTCGGCATTATCTTTCACGTCATCGTATGAAGTGAGATTTTTATTCTTGGAAATCATACAACGAGCATTATTCTCAGTGAATAATCCTCGAATATTTTGATTCCAAGTGATAGGACCGTCAGGTTCATTAAAAGGTCGGCGAAATTCTTTACGAAAAACATTCGGATTAATTGTATCTACAGTCGAATCTTCCCACACTGGATCCTCGGCCATAATTTAATATAATGAGTTTTATTTTTTTTTTTTTGTATTTAGGTGTATGAAAACAACACGAAGGAAAGGTTAAAATCTCTGTCTTCCTTTTATATTGAAATTTAATTACATTCTTTTTCACTGACAAAAATGTGATTTTTCAACTTATTGTACCTTTTTGTACAACCTTGTGCGACCTAATTACAAAGTAAAAGGATTACCATTAAAAAAAACCAAAAATTCGTTGAACCTTACGCCGCCCTAATGCACATCATCACTGCATGAAAGAAGGGATGATGAATTTTCGCACGAGACTCCTTATTTACTTTATTGAGGGAATTTCGCTAGGGAAGATATGACTTTTTTTATTGCAGATAATGAATAGTTTATATGTTTTCATATCATTGTATAATATTTTGTTTACTTCATTTTGATTTCGTTTTAAATGTCAGTGTAAATTTTAATATGTTAATGCGGGTAGAATAAGAGAATAAAATAATAGGGTATGGCAATGCCCTTTGGATTATTAAATTTTCGATTACACCATGCACATAGATACGGTAATTTTGTCATACGATTGAAAGCACATTCAAAAAAAAAAAAGAAAAAAAATTATTTTAAGACCGTGCGGAGAATACTCATAATGTCTTTGGATGCCTTTTTTGGTGTAAAATATTCTTTCCAAAATCAATGTATAAATAACCCGATCATTCATTTTTCCTTTTTTTAAAGCTTATTGCATAAATTCATATCGTCAAGTCCCACATGATGATATTTTATTGAAAATTCCTTTTAACGATTTATTACTTTACCGTGAGAAATTCGGGAAGGTCATTCTGACATGCGTGTGGGAAAATGGACAAAATATTTGTAACCTGTGACCATGCAACGCAAGAATATGGCGGTTATTTAGGTTATTTTCTCACATTTTTATTTGTGATTATTTCCATATATACGGATTTTTTAGAATCACTTCACCGATTTAACTAAATTATTGATTACAATGTCATCATTAAAAAGTTGGAGTCACAAAATATCTCGAGCACCATTTGTCGTTAGGCCTCCATATTTTAATTTATCTGATACTGGGATATATATGAGAGGAAGAGTATCGTTCATTATTTAAAAAGATTACGCAATTATGCATTTTTTTCTTAATATTATAGTACGCAAAATGTCTAAATCTGACCAATCAGATTCAACGTTGGCTAATAACGAAAATTTTGTTTACCATAAAATTGTCGTCTCCGTGAAAGTATAATAGTTATACATTGTAGGTGTAAAAAAAAAGTAACAATTGTTCATCATTACTATTGTTTCTTATTGAACAATTCTTAAGTTACAATACAAGAAATAAAAATCTTACATTTCCTTCATCAATAGGTTCATATGTTTCCATCGACTTTGCATCTTTCAAAATGTTTGAAACAACAAATTTGCAAACGCAAGCAATTTGGGGATTCTTCAATAAAAATGCATCATATCACTAATTTTTATGTTATAAGAGCTTTACAATTGGCGAAGCCCCTTTTGATAATACCGACATGATTATTTATCCTATCCAAAAGAAGCCATAAAATTTTATATAATGGAATAACACAGATTCTAAAATAATTATTTTTAATCTTTTCAAAAAAAAAAAATTCAGTAAATCGCTATTTACTAATCTTTCATTAAACAAAATTTAATTTAATACGCGGGCTCGCAACTAAACGGGTTTCGAAAAAAATGCTGAAAGTTTAAACTGAGACAAATTTTGTAAGAGACTACTTACCGGTTTTGTGAGATAGTCATCTTAGATAGTCAACTAACGCAAAAAAAAAAATGCTCCTTATTAAAAAGCCTGAAGCTAAATGTATTATTGTATTGTCAAAAAAATATATCGTTTTAATCATTTTGTATTAAAAAAGTATTTATGTACATACATACTATATCATGTTGGAATCCTTCAAACGATGAGTGATTAGGCAATTTTATTCTTTATTTTTTAGTTGATTTGTTTTTAAAGCCAAGGTGCTAAATTAAATGATCTCACAAATATTATATGACAATATCATTACGTGGTAAAAGTGCCAAATTCAAAATATCATTTTGTATGTTTATTGCATAAAATTTGATCTATTATTTTAAAAGTTATCTGGAAAATATAATTTTATTTGATTTTAAAAATGTGATCTTCTAAATACTTTGGCATTATAAAATAAATACGTATATGGCTTCGTTCCGCTTTAAGGTGGAATGATGTATTTTGGTGACGAAAAATTGTTTATAAAAAATAGACGTAGTATTAGATTATAAGCATATTAACTTACCGGGGGCGAAGACGCTATAGCCTACGAAATTCCAACGTTTAGCAAAGATATTGTTCAAAAGCGTCCTCCGGTATAGTGAACGTTATTACTTATTAGTTGGAAACAATTATATTTATAAGTTCTTACAATTCTTTTTAATTCGAACTTGCAAAAAGTCTTTGGACGAATTTACAGAATAAGTCCGTACCGTTATACTGATTAAAATATTATAGAGTACAGTACGTATGGTACGATTCAAAGTATTGATTTCAATATACAGTCGACCTCCTACATAGTCACACCTAAAAAAATTTGGTGAGTTTAACTTCGGCCTAACAAATTTGTTTTTACAAATACCTTTGTTCCTGCATAAACTTTATACAGGAGAAAGTAAATGGCGAAGAGTAGCGAAGGGTTATATTTTATCTGTTTATTTGGTTGAAAACCCAAGAAACATGGGTATATCACGTAGCAGATTTTCTTTTCTTTTCGTTTCTTGTATATCTGTTTTGTTTCGCCTGCATTTCGATATTTCTGAGTTGTTTTTTTTAAAATTTAATATATATATCTCTATTTCTCTCTCTCCCTCTCTCCCTCCCTCTCTCTCTATTTTTTTTTATATCCTTTTAAAATTTCGTAGTAAGAGTGTGAAGAGACGGAACTTTTTAGGTCCGACTTACCTATCTTACGTATGTTGATGATTTGCTATATTTGCTAGTCGAATGTTGAATAGGGACAATCATTTTTTTTTTTTTGAAAAAAAAAAAATTGACTTGTCGTTTGTCAACATACTATTCTTAATTCCCCTTTAAATTTCGATATAATTTGATTACTATTCAACCAAGAGAATAATATAAACGATTAATTATTACTTAGTCACGTAGAATAACTTTACTGAAACGACTTTAATGCCACCAGCATGTGACCATCATATGACTATATGGTCACGTACAGGAAGCATTTTTATTTTTTTGGTCGTCTAGTTTCTACCTTATTTCTTTGTGTCGGCTATATGAAAGTGATATGGAGCGTTAATTTAATAATTTATATAAATATTTTAAAAGAGCGGCTTTTAAAAAAAAAATGTTTATATGTATTTTCTAATTTCTGGCGTATTGCTTTATGTCGACATTATAGAGGTGATAAATCTGATTTTTAAAAAAATTTTAAAAGTAAAAAAATCTATATGTATATAATTTAATAAATAAAATAAAATTTTTATTTATTTTAACTTGCGATTGCTTAAAAATGTTCCTTTAAATAAAAATAAATAACTTTCGAAATGTTTGATTTAGAGATTGGAACCGTGTCTTAAATGGTTACCTGGATATCCGTATGATTTTTGAAATCGGGTACCCAGATGAATTCAGGTTATTTGTGGCGCAGTATATAAAAATGGTTTGATTATTAAACTGGGTTAAATTTTAATTTTTTAGATTAAAAAATCTTTTAAAAAATTATTTATTTAATAATTAACCCGCAAATTAGACCAAATTACTAAATTTAACCAAAATTTATTATAAATCGTAATTAACTTTTTATAAAGTGAACTATTTATTGACTAAAATATGTGAATCGCATTTGAATTTCTTTTTAAAAACATCATTTTACCTGCCAGTTTTGAATCTAAACGTGTACGCTTAGCAGTAATTTGATTACCCGCGTCAGAAAATAACCTTTCACTAGGTACTGAAGAACCGGGAATAGATAAATATTTTCTGGCTAATTTAGCTACATTAGGAAATTGAGTTTTCCAAACTGCCCACCATTCAAAAGGATTCACACTATCATCAGCAATTGGAGTACGAATAGGATCTAAATAACATTCTAATTCAGAAATAGGATTTGCTATGATTGCTCTTATACCAAAAATAGAAGAGTGCAATCGACTATGATGCAAACTAGATTGTTGTTGATTTAAACTACCAGATGATGATGATTGTGCCGAATTTGAATCAATTAATTCTTTAAATTGGCACATTAACTCCGTTTTTGCCTTATCGCGTGTTTCATCATCCCAATTAGTGAGTGTTTTCAACCGTGGATCCAAAAGAGATGCTAAAAGACCAATCATTATAGGTTCATTCCAATAAGTAAATATGGAATTATATATAGTCTGTCTCATTATTTTAAGAACATCTTGTGTAGGTTGAATAGTTGTTGCTGCTGTTTTAGATCGAGTTTGGTGGTGATATGATGTTGATTGTTCTGAATTATCGAGCTCTAGGTTATCTTCATCATCACTATCACTTTCTTAATCTGATTCTTCATGCTGAAAATTTGGAATATCTATAAAATATGTTATAGTTAGCAAATAATATAAATTCAAATAATATAATAATAATATGACAAATTTACCTTGTTCTATTTCTAAATTATTATCATCATCTTCAAAAGATTCATATGCATATTTGAATTTGAGAACTTGGATTAAAGGATAAATAATTGATAAAGTGGCTTAAGATGTTCCACTAAAATAAGTAGTGGCATCATCAAATAGTTCTAATAAATCCACAATTTGTTTCAATAAGTCCCATTCATGAGGTAATAAAAGCCGCTTTTTAAGTTTTCTTCCATCTGCACGATCATCAGGATTATCAGATAAAGGTAAAGTTGCACCTAACCATTCAATTGCTTTGCGTAACTTTAATAAACGATTCTAAGAATGATATTTAGAATTCCATCAAGTTTTAATATCAGCAATATTTCGTAAAATTGGTTCTTTTGAATTGGCTGAATCTAACATTGGTGGTTCATTTATACTATTATCATTATCATCAGAATCATCATCAGTAAAACTATCAGAAATATTTTGTGAAGTTGTATTATTATACCATCAACATTCTTTTTGTGAATTTCAGTCACATGACTTTGATATGATTAGTATACAATAGCAGGTTTTAATAGTCATTTACCAACAATATTCACATATTATATACTGATTTTTCATTGTATAAATTTAACTTGAAGCACCTAGTCTTATTGAGCCGCAGCAGTACCAAAAATATATTCTAACCAGTTTATAAAAAAATTCTTTTTTTATTTATTTTAACTTTAATTTTCTTTTTTTTTGGTAAAAATCATATAAGCTTTATAGATGTAAAAAGTCATATTACCATTCTTAGTTAAAGAATAAAATCTATTATATGATTATATTATTTAAAGTTATATAGTTAAATATTGCAAAAATTTGTGTAGATATAAAATTGGAATTAGTTAATTTGTTTCATTTAGTGCTCGAGATGCTTCCTTCCTTTAGATTCGCTACTCCATATCTTTCATTTCATTCATTTTAATAAAGTATTTGTGATATGTGTAAGCGACTGTAAATAAAATAGACATTAACTAATTCATAGAAAAAAGAATTCTTTAAAATTTTTAAATTTTATTACTTTATAGCAGAAATAGTTGTTATTTAAAAAGAAAATTACAGATCTCATGTACATTCGAAATTTTCTAAGTTGATATATATCAACATCTCACATGTCAGTATTCATAGGATAAACAAGGTCTTCCTCCGGAATAGGATAAGAAAGGACTTTCTCTGGTTTATATTTGATTGTTGATGTTACTAAGCCACGGTGGGCAAATGATGGTGAAAGGTAGTCCTTAATACAATCTAAATCAATGAGAAGCAACTGAGGC